CGATCATCTTAAACTTATCTCTGACATCATATTTGAAGCACATCACAATTGTGTTACGTACTGTTAACAAATACTTTTCTATTCTGAATAAATATTGAATAACATGAGAAATATAGTAAAAAAAATCACAGTATATCAAGGACACAAAACATTCAATTAACATAGTTACTTATACCTTTTTATGAGGTGATCTCCCAGTCTAACATATTTGCTGTTTACTGTCTTGTCTCTGGCAGCGTTTGTCCAGGACCAATCAAAGCATGTCCACTGATATCTTCGTGCACCTATGAGAAAGTGCCTGATCCCCGCAACAGTCACATCTTTAAACAGATGAAGCATCAGGTTAGACTGAATGAAACGTAACTGCGAGGTTTCTATAGACTCCTAAAAGTCGTAATTTTTTTTTACTGTATTTGTTATAGTAAAAGCCTTAAGTTATATAAAAAAACAACTTTAATAATGGTTTCAAAAATCCTTTAAAAGATACTTTCTGGTATTGTAAGTAATTAACAAAATGGCTCTTTATAGATCTGTATTACAGAAACAACAGCAGTCATTCTGTGATGTGAAAAAGAAAGTTGTCACAGGACTGTATGCGATCCCATGGGAAACTAAGTAGAGTAGAGCCACGTTTAGCAACAACTTAAACTGATTGTTTCCTGTATGGCTATCAGCATCTCACAGTGTTGTGGGGGAACGTCGCTTCAGTTGGTTGAGGTTTGTGGGAATTTTTTTTTAAACGCAGATCTCTTAAGTTCCCACCAAAGCATTTCAATCAGGTTTAGCCACTGCAACATGCTGAGTCTTTCCTTTTTTAGCCATTTGGTTGCAGATTTGCTGCTCTGCTTCGAATCATTGCCCTGTTGCATGACCCAGTTTGGAGCATAATTTACTATACAGAGGAGCTCATGGTGTCCTGGTCTGGCTCCAAAACAATCCCAAGGCTACTAATGACAAAAAATAAGCTAAATCAAGACCAATACCAGTTGATGCATACAGGTCACTGATATATAAACTTGGCTCAATGATAATCAAGAAATTGTTTTTTGTTTTTTCTGTCTCTCTGTAGTTTAATGATCCTTTGGGCTGGATATGCATTCCCGTCTGTGAGCCACAGCCCAAGATCTCTGTGCTCGAAGTTGTAAAAATAAAGTCCCCAAATTTAAACCCTGATGGATTAGTAGGACCAGTGACAGGAGACAAGTTTTCACAAGATGATCAGAGGGAGGATGCTGTCCCAGAGGAGACTGGAAGGTTGGACCGCAGATATGGAAAAGAGCCCTACAGCAAAATGGTTGATTCCGATGAGGAAACGAGTGGCAGCTCATCAGAGGAAGAACAGTTCACGTCTGGTTACGAGCAACACTTCATGCCCTCTCCTTTAGAAGTAAGTTTTATCAAAGCCTCACACCTGATCAGAGACATTATTCTCATTTTTTTCTTTCTTTGTTGTTATTTATTGACTTTATTTAAAAAGAGCCAGTATACAAATAGTAAAGTAATACTATTTTACCTCAGACATACAGCTAAGCACTGGTCCAGGTCAGTCAGCTCACTGAAATTATTTCTTTGCGTCATCGGATGTGCTCCCAACTCTGCCAG